TGAAAGCATGAGGGAGAACCACTGAGAAGAATCGTTACCCTAAAGGAAAACTCCCAAAGAGCATGAAGAACCACTGAGAAGAACCAAGACTCTAAAGGAAAACTCCCTAAGAGCATGAAGAACCACTGAGAAGAACCGAGACTCAAAAGAAAACTCCCTAAGAGCATGAAGAACCACTGAGAAGAACGGAGACTCAAAAGAAAAAACTCCCTAAGAGCATGAAGAACCACTGGGAAGAACCGAGACTCAAAAGGAAAACTCCCTAAGAGCATGAAGAACCACTGAGAAGAACCGAGGCTCAAAAGGAAAACTCCCAAAGAGCATGAAGAACCACTGAGAAGAACCGAGACTCAAAAGGAAAACTCCCTAAGAGCATGAAGAACCACTGAGAAGAACCGAGGCTCAAAAGGAAAACTCCCTAAGAGCATGAAGAACCACTGAGAAGAACCGAGGCTCAAAAGGAAAACTCCCTAAGAGCCTGAAGAACCACTGAGAAGAACCGAGACTCAAAAGGAAAACTCCCTAAGAGCATGAAGAACCACTGAGAAGAACCGAGGCTCAAAAGGAAAACTCCCTAAGAGCATGAAGAACCACTGAGAAGAACCGAGACTCAAAGTAAAACTCCCAAAGAGCATGAAGAACCACTGAGAAGAACCGAGACCCTAAAGGAAAACTCCCTAAGAGCATGAAGAACCACTGAGAAGAACCGAGACCCAAAAGAAAACTCCCTAAGAGCATGAAGAACCACTGAGAAGAACCGAGACTCAAAAGGAAAACTCCCTAAGAGCCTGAAGAACCACTGAGAAGAACCGAGGCTCAAAAGGAAAACTCCCTAAGAGCATGAAGAACCACTGAGAAGAACCGAGGCTCAAAAGGAAAACTCCCAAAGAGCATGAAGAACCACTGAGAAGAACGAGACCATAAAGGAAAACTCCCTAAGAGCATGAAGAACCACTGAGAAGAACCGAGACTCAAAGTAAAATCCCTAGAGCATGAAGAACCATGAGAGAACGAGGCTCAAAAGGAAAACTCCCTAAGAGCATGAAGAACCACTGAGAAGAACCGAGGCTCAAAAGGAAAACTCCCAAAGAGCATGAAGAACCACTGAGAAGAACCGAGACCATAAAGGAAAACTCCCTAAGAGCATGAAGAACCACTGAGAAGAACCGAGACTCAAAGTAAAACTCCCTAAGAGCATGAAGAACCACTGGGAAGAACTGAGACTCAAAAGGAAAAAGTCCTTAAGAGCGTGCGAAACTTCTTAGAAGCATAAAGACGAAACACTGAGAGGAACAAAGACGTGAAAGGAAAAAGGAAAGAGCATGAGGGAGAAGGATTGAGAGGATCCAAGACTCAAAAGAAAACATCTCCCTGAGAAGGTGAGGAAGAACAACTCAGAAGAACCAAGACTCAAAAGGAGAAATTCCCTGAAAATGTGAGGAAGAACGACTCAGAAGAACCAAGACTCAAAAGGAGAAATTCCCTGAAAACGTGAGGAAGAACGACTCAGAAGAACCAGGACTCAAAATGAGAAATTCCCTGAAAACGTGAGGAAGAACGACTCAGAAGAACCAGGACTCAAAATGAGAAATTCCCTGAAAACATGAGGAAGAACGACTCAGAAGAACCAGGACTCAAAATGAGAAATTCCCTGAAAACGTGAGGAAGAACGACTCAGAAGAACCAAGACGCAAAAGAAAGCATCTCCATAAAAGCATGAGGAAGAAACACTGAGAGGAACCCAACTTAGAAACAGAACCCATCCTCCTCTGGGTCACGTCAGTGCTGTTAGGATACAAGTAGGATAACTCAGTATATTATAGTGGCACTGGGATCATACAGAGGAAAGATTAGCAAAATAAACCAGTGACCAACATTGATCCTAGTGTAAGCAAAACCTTCAGTCTACATATGACACCTTAAAGAAATAGATTAATGAAACTGACACCATTTTGTACAGCCTAGATAGTAGAGTTGTTCTGCGTACATAGTGCGCAGGTGCTACTGAAAGAAAAATATTGTCAAACATTTCCCCTCCAGCCTTCCAGGCACTTTATTAGTTTGGGCTGAAACCAGATTTACCAGCTTGCCTTCTTCTGTATATCCGCTCTGGCAGTGAGCACTAGAGATGTTTGTTTCTTGTTGCCCAAAAGCACTGTTTGCTCATAATGAACAAAATGGACGAAACACCCATATTACAATTATAATCCTACATATTGTGTTTGTGATACGGCTGGTAATGTATTAGAAACACATTAGTCAACCTTTGATGTGACATAATTGAAGATCAGCCTGTGATGCTTTGAAAAAATGATTTCCAAAGAGGATGTTTGGATAAATCATTTTTATCCAAACATCCTCACAATACTCAGGGCTAGGCAATGTATCAAATATTTATTTTAGGGGATACATAATTAGGCAACATTGTGAATATCACTATGATTTTAATACACATTTTGTGTGTGTCTCCTGAACACCGTGGTAGTTGTAGTGGTCTTGCTGTCCCTCCTTGTCTTGCAAGTATGAACGTGTTTAGCCTCAGAGCAAAATGGAGCAAACGATAATGCAACACATACATTGGTAGGATAGCATAGTGTATAACACCCATTCCCCATGGAAGAGCCAGGTTCAATACCCAGTTCAAGCAGTTGCACCATTAGTACAGGAAAGACTCATAATGTTGCATTTCGCCCATCACAATTAGCCTGTATAAGAGTGATAAAAATATAAATGCATTCTGAGAAAGACAGGGCGGATAAATATTTAGTACTTAAAAATTGCAACCAGTGGTTGTTCATGAAGTGCTATAGAGGCCTTAATTATTTTTCACATTTTTTACTGTTTTTTTACTTCTCATTGCAGTAAAGAATTTGTTTACATCCAAGTTTGCAGATCTCACAACCACTCTGTCATTTCAGAAAGAGTGCATGAGATTAAATAATATCAGTATTTTTTTTAAGCCATATCAACCAGACCTAGTCAGCGCACATTAAAACCTTCACTGAATGGTTACAGACTTAAATGCACAGACATCTGCAGTATCAGTGTTGTAAAAGCTGATATCATGATATTGATTAGCAATAATTACAGCTATGTAATATCCTGCCCTAGTTCATAGTCCCTAACCCAACCCCTCAGCTAATTAAAGAGCCCTTCATGAATCAGGCATGTGAGAGTGAAGAGAAACACAGAGCAAGTCTGCAGATCCACAGAACACAGCAGTTGGCAAAATGTGTTTTATCTGCACTCATTGGCTCAGAAAGAAGCAGTCAGGGCGCAAAGTTGGACTGAGAGTGTATCTGCTGGGGTGGGACCAGCATCAAGCACAAAATGGGCCACTGTGGTAGTTATCAATTTAATCATCTAAGGCTCTGAATTCAGTTCATGAAGGCCTTGCTAATTAGCCAATGAGCTGAATCAGGTGTTTTTAATGAGGCACCGTGCTGAAGTCTGCAGTGTTTTGGCCTGCGAGGACTGGTGCTTGACATGTGATTTAATGTATAACACTGATCAGAAATGATGCACTGAATGGAAATTCTTGGCCAAAACAGAAACTAAAATTCAAGATACATTCAGTCAAAAACCGAAACTGAAAGCTGAAAAAAGCTGACAAATAAAAACAGTTCACATAAAATAAACTTACTAAAATGATTATAGTATGAAGGCTGTAGTATGTGCCACGAAATGTAACATCTTTAACAGTGAACAGTTGGTCATCCAACAGAATTCATGCTTTGACATTTCATGTCATGAATTGACCTTTCGTCGTAGGCATATTTAATCTTTATATTTTTGGTCAAAATTGGTCAAAAACCAAAAGTGCTATTTTTTCTGTGGCCAAAATTTCACTTCATTCCCATTGATCAGTGACCAGCCCTTTGCTATCCTATATAATTTACCATTTACAGAAAAAGAACCAGCTTTCAGTTGTTCACACACTCATACACTGATTCTAGAGGCAGCCAGGTTAGACCCAGTGATTTTACAGGGGTGGCAAAGGAAAAAATAAAAGGAGAGGTTAATAACGTTCCTCTGTGCGTATAATAGGACGACACTATTAAAATAATATAGAATATGTTGAAATTATGTACACAGTTGAATCAAGTAAATTAAATGCGTCACTTGTTTTAGGCCATAGATGTTGCTCATTTAGGCTGCCCTCATTACAGGTTACTCATGAGTCTAATGATAAAGCTAGCCAGACGGCAAAGTACAGGGTAACATTATAGGCGAACAATCCTTGGCTGGACGAAGAGCTGACCTGTGTTCAGCACAAACATATTCAACTTAGCACTGGATTCTTCTCAGATGGAGTCCAGTCTACAACTCACACACACTTAACTGTAACAAGTAATTATTTAACATGACAAATGATTAATGCTGAGAAATTGTAATATAGTCACCAACACATCTTACTTAGTAAATATACTTCATATACTGTAGCTCACAGAGCAGCTCTGCTGAAGGGACACAGTGCACGGTGGAAATGAATGTACCAGGCAGAATTTGTGTGATTTCTTGTATCATTTTTACTGCTGAACAATATAAATGAAATTGGTTAAAACCTTGTGATCCATACAGAGCATGACAACCAAACAAAAGTACTGTACAAAATCAATGTAGAAATTTATTTAGATGCTTTCAACTGTTTGTTACTGTACTGAAAACAATGTTTACTGCCTCATTAAGCAACATGAACAATCAGTTTTGACATGTTCTCTCCTGTTTGCACTATGAAGCAGTCAATCATGTAAGAATTATTGAGTGTAGCGTGAACAGACAGGTGATCAGTAACTGTTTTGATGACAGGGTTTCACCATAGGAGTAACTGTTCACAAGGGGCAGGTAGAACAACCTTTCTATGATGACTGCTTTATTGGTGATGGCTGACTGTCTCACTTTGTTTAACTGGGGTAACCAAAAGGGTGTCGATGCTTCATGCCACTGGGTGTAAAACCACATTTAAAATAATATTTTTTTAAATGTCTGTTTTCTTGTAGTATGTGGACTTGAACTCTTCCAGAAATCTGCTGATCCTTGGTTTTTCAACCTTCAGTGGCCTTGTCCTGCCGACGTGGTTTCATTCAAACCCAGACATGATTAACACAGGTAAGAAATGTCTGCTTTCAAAGCACTAAGAAAGTCTATAGAATCTAAATTCCTGAAATCCAGTTACTGTATTGAATTGAATTGAATGTACTTTGTTGTCTCATTGGAGAACATTGGTATGTGCATCACCATGGCTAAAGATCTTGGGGGCCAAATATCCACAGAGTTGTCCTACTAGCACAGAGGTGACCAGTCTTACCTGCACAGGGCCAGTGTGGCTGCAGGTTTTCATTCCCATAAAGCAGGATCACATGATCAGTTTAAAGGCAGAGACCAGATGATTAAACTCATAGAATCAGCTTGTTTGGACTGAAACTCTACAGTAACACTGGCTCTTTATGGATAAGTTAGGACACTTCTGCATTAGCACAGGAGGAAGTCTGTTAAAGGGCCTAGATAAACTGAGGCAGCACCCCCAGCCAGTTGTTCATGCTTTAATACACTTGATCATCAGCTCATGAAGAAGTCTTTCATTAGCTGAATCAGGGATGTAGAGACAACGCAGAGAAAGACAACACAAATGCAGTACTGTGGTCTTACAGTATCATTTGCTGTTACAATTCTAAAACAATCGCCTGATCATGATTATTTAACTATTTTCCGCAGTTGTTAGCTTTCATAATCATGTGTTTACATTTCAACAAACAATGTGAGTTGGATGATTTTATCATTTAAATTGTGGTAAATACATGTAAGTAAAAGAAAGCAGAATGTGCATTGTTTGAGATGCATCATGGGTCTGAACTAAGTTCTGACTGGTGCTGTAACATGTTAAGAGAGCTAGGAAGCAAGATATGATTCAAAAGACTAGCCTTTAAGTACAAGTTCATTTTTAACTAGGTAAAATGTCAAATCTATCAGTATTTATATTGTCCACTCCACTTTTGTGCGCCTTGCTGCCGCTTTAACTCTTCATTGCTTTCTCTTATAACCAATGAGTTACAGCTTTGTCCTCCCAACAAAAGGTGTTGACATTGTTATTAGATTAGATAATTAGATATTAGATAATCCACTTGTATAAGGAAGGAAAATAAATAACACACAAATAAAAAAAAATACATACAAATTTAAGGGAGAGATAGGAAGAAAATCAAGGTATGAAAAATTCACATATGCTTCAACTGTACAAAGACAACTCAGTTTGAAAGAATGCTGAAAGAAGCTGTTACTGAGAAAAGAAAATAGTTTTAAAAATTACATTTACACTAGAACACCTAAAGCTGGATTTCTGAGATGCCAAGGAAAGTTTCACGGACCAGAGCCTAAAAAATACTGAAAGCAAGTCTCCTTAAAAGAATCGAAGCTGGCAAAGGGATATGTTAAATGCCCTAAAATTTTAGATTTTTCATATATTCATACAAATTCATATGTTTAGTTAAGGCTTCTGTGTAATTTTGTGTTGAATATATGTTTTATGTTTTTTTCCTGACATTGAAAAACAAATAATTTGTACTTAATAATTCATATTGTTATAATAACTTGTACTTGTAACTAACCTGCACAGTATTGTAACTAATCTGCTAATTTCACCACTTCAGGCTTGTACTGTATTAGTAATAAATACCAAAAAAGACAATTAACCCCTTAAAATCAGGCTTACGGCAGACTAAGACTTATTGTTCAGTGACTGCATGGCCTACAGTGCAAACTGACTGAGCTATTCTTAGCTTATAGAATTGTGTAATAACACTTGGGCCCATCAGCGGACTCTGGCCATGTAAGGAGTTATAATGTTGACAGTGGCACACCTGTTTTTAATTTTCAAAATCTTTACATGGCCAAGTGCACGTTGAGCTTTCAAGAATCAGTAGATATGGTATGGAAACATGGGAATGTTATTTCAGAGGCAGAGCTTGCCTCGATCTTTGCCGGTTCATGTGTGATGTGCATTTTCTAAAGCTGTCCAGTATGTCCATATGTTCCTATATTAGTGTGCTGTATCGTGTGAGCCTTAGTAATTATATTTATCTTTTACAGCTGGTTTATTATACATAAAAACCTTTTTTTTTATCATTTACACAAAAAAGAGAAGAATGTGCAGATATGGATAGTGTGTTCTTTACATGTGCATGTAGAACATGTTGGACATCAACTGGAGTTTTGAACTTTTGAACTTCCAACTTTTCTGGGAATGAAAATGTGCTTCTACTCGTAGCCTTTCTCAGCAGTCCCCCTAGTGGCTATTCTGCCAGCAGAATGGAAATGGACTCATATATTTTTTTTATATAAATAACATATTTTCTTCGCTGAAAAATTGTTCTCAGATTAACTAGGATGCTAGTTAATGCTTTGTGGGAAATGTTGTGACTCTGTATTGAGCTGCTAGCAAGCAGTGAGGGGTGAAGGGAGAGGTGAGAACACATTACTGGAAACAATTCCAATCTTTTCACAAAGTTGGGAAAATAAAAATGGACAGCACAATAAGAGCACTTGCATAAATGTTGACATGTTTGTAAATGAGAAAAAATTAGTTTGCTTTTAGTTTTGTAAAATAATTAAAAAATGATTAGAATCAGCTGTTTTGTGTAAATTAAGGTTGTAGCGGTAAATATAAAGGTTCCTGAACAGTTTGTGTCTTGAATGTGTGCTTGTGGGAAAAATTTAAATTGTTGTAGGCCCTTTACATTATGTGCAGGTTCTCTAACCTTTGAAAAGGCTCTTCACAACTAAATCACATTTACAAAAAACAATTCTTTATTTGCCCATTCATTAAAAGGTTCTTAAGAGAAAAAATGTGGTTCTTCTGTGAAATAGAACCATAGTTGGCACCTACATTTTTAAAGGAGAATTCCTCAGATGTCTCTGAAAGGTTATGAATATATTGAATGGTGCTTGAAGAAGAGGTTTTGGTCTAAAACATAGTTTAAAAAAGACATTTATAGTGTGGAGGTACATTCAGGGTGCAAGGCAAAATAGAACCTAAAGAAAATGCATTTTTTCATATTTACCACTATTTAACTATTATAGCATCACATGTAAAAACTCAGAAGACTTGTGTAGGTTCTCTGGTCATTTTGGATAGTAAAGAAAATGGCTATATTTGTGTTTTAGATATTGTAGTCCCTGGTTCACCAGCCACTGTAAAGATAATTAATGACTTTTTGTGCTCAACAAAGGGTCTTAACAACTGAATTATGCAGAAATGTTGAAGAGATTCTCATTTAAGAGGCCTGAGATGTGCTCACAGCCATCATGGGTCATTCGGTGCAAGTAGCCCATGCCACAAAGGCTTAGCGTTAGGGGTGAGGAGCATTGTCTGGGCTCTTAAGGCAAGGCCTACTTATCTGCCAATCCTCTTTAGAAGTCTCTGTTTTACGGTAATCTCCTCACTTCATTTAGGAATGGACCTTCTCCGAATAGCGCCTTTTTTCAACATCACTCCCACCTGACCTCAGACTGACCTTTGCCCTAATCTTTCTCCCATTGCATGGTAAACAGTGCTCAAAGTGCCGAGCTTTACCATAAACAAAAGTGTCCTATATTAGGCACCCTTAAGCATATTACAGACAGTCTTTTGGCCTTAGCGCCCTAAGCTGGCACATTGAACTCCTGACCAAGTGAGCTCATCGTAGCATTTGTCAGATGGACAGTAATCAGCCAGGGAACATCCATAGCCAATCTTTTTGTTACGCACACATGCATTATATGGCCCTGCACACTTCCATGTCTTACTCTATGCTTAGTATATCTGTATGACCATTTTATATGACTGTTTTATTGACCATGGGATGTATTTTTAACAGGCATAACAGAATTGGATCAACTAATCATGGTGCTTTTCACCACCCACATGTTCATTGGTGGTTTCTTTGGATTTGTTCTAGACAACACGATTCCAGGTAACTCCCATATCTGACGGACTGTGAAAGAAACAGAAACTGTACTGTAAACTGAGAAATCTCTGTTGACAGGCCCTAAAGGAAAGCCTCCCTTTTGAGACCTTGAGACATTTTCTAAATTGTTACTTCATCGTTAAGTGTAGATTTAATGATGTTGGATCGGTTTCCCAAACAAGGCTTAAGCTTGGCCATAAATCATTTTCAGTGATAAATCAACATACAGTACAACTCTGGACACCTGCCAGTTTTACATGTGCCTTCTTTTCCTCTCGTTCTCTTTGTGTAGGGACAGACGAGGAGAGAGGAATAAAGAGCTGGAGGAAGACAGTCCACGGCATTAACAGCGCATACTTCAGCGATCAGTCCTGTTACAATCTGCCCTTCTGCATGAACTTCCTCCACAGATTCAGATTCCTTCAGCACCTTCCCTTCCTTCCTCACCTGAAGTCCCAGGACCAGGGGACACACCTTTAAAACCTGAAGCTTCAGATTAAACTCGTTACAGATTCCAAAAAGTGTTCTGGACACATTAACAATTTACTGTAGTATAGGCCTAATTTATTAGGCCGTTAATGTACAGACATTTTTTATAACCATACTGTTTTCTGCATGGCCCTGCGGTATGAAAACATGTGAATGTGGTCATTGATTTATGGCCAAGCTTAAGTCATGTTTGGGAAACCAATCCAACATCATTAAAGCTAGACCTAATGGTGAGGTAACAATTTAGAAAAGATCCCGAGGTCTAGAAAGGGAGGTTTCTCAGTTTACAGTTTCTGTTGAAGCTGTTATCCAGAGATAAGAAATAAATTCCAGGATACTTCTTGCAGTCTTGCAATACCTAATGACTCAGATAGCTCAATCCAAACATGCCCCTAGCCAACAACTACATGTAAGATTTCAAACGTCTCCCACATCCATAAACTTGTCCTTCAGAAAAAATTTCACCTGGGTTTATTTTTATGGCCTGCTGCTATACACCGTCGGTGCTGAATTAGGCACATGATTCTGTTTAATGCTGTTGTTTTTGAGCGGTTTGCTGAGATATCAGACCTCTTGCAGTGTTGCTTCAGTCAAGTATTTGCATTGTGCAAATAACATTTGCGCCTTTGCCTGGAGCAGTTAAAATACTGTGCGAAAGTCAGAGACCACCTTTCATTTATATAATTTCCAGTCAGGATATCCTTTAAGTACAAGGTTTTCATTCATATTTCCGGAGACATTTCTAAGGAGATTATATATAAGGTAATCCACTTGCATAAGAAAGGGGAAAGTCAAAGGAAACCAAGGGCCAATCCCATTTGAACCCTTGCGCCTACCACTTAGCCCTTAGCCCTTCGCTTTGCACATTCACGTCTAGGGGTAGTGTGTCCCGATTTTTGTTGAGATAGAGGGGTAGGGTTAAGTGTTACGGCTACATGGCCCTCCAAACGGAGGTTTTTCAGAGTCTCACTCCAAGTGAAGTGTTATGAGAAAAAAAGAAAAAACGTCAAAATGGCTGTGCAAGCGACCAATAAAAACCACAAATGTGAGAATTTACTGTTAAAAATGACGAAAACCATTGTATTGTCTTAGTTTAAAGTCATTTCATGTATTATGGTCCTTTTCTTCATACCAAGCATAGAAATTCGCCAATAGTGTGCTGATGTCTCAGTAGCTAGCTAGCTAAATTTCCCACTCCACTTTAAATAGTCCAGCAGTACTGATGCCTGAAGTGACAGAATGTAACTGCTGCTCCATTTAAGGTGGAATGGGGAAATTCGAATGAGAAGCTGGCGAATAGCTGACTTCAGCTTCATATCACTGAAGAATTAGAGGTGGGGTAGGGGTAGACAAGGCGTAGGGGTGAAAATAAGAAATGGAGTTGGGCATAAGTGAAGAAACAGAAGTTTCTAACCTCAACATCACTGAATGTGTTTGGGATTACTTTGATTGTCAGAAGCAGAAAATGCAACCAATTGTGAAAAATATCACTGCAATTAAAAAATTGAAAACAAGTCTACCGAAAAGAATGGAAGCTGTAATAAAGGCAAATGATGGCACACTGAACACTGAAAATGCTGATATTATATTTAGTTAATGACTATTTTTAATAGAAATTAAATAATTAAGGGTGGTCTTTGACTTTTGCACTGTACTGTATATACTATAACACACCAGTCACACCTGTTAATTACTTTACTGTTTTTAGAAGAATTCATTATTTTTAAAGGAAATAATTTTCACTATTTTGTCTCAGAATGGACACTTTTGATAGATGACAACGTACCAACATTCTTTTGAAAATCTGTTTTTTGAGTGGCTTTAATTCTTATTAAATCAGACTTATCTTTGTACTGTATTTGACTGAAGGTGTAGATAGTGTCACATTTGTAAAATTAAATTAAAGTTCAAATTATCTCCGAATGTTCTGTATATTTCCCAATAGAGGAACCCTTATCTCATATGACACATCCAGAGACTCCATTCACATGCACTGTTTACTCCCATTGAGACCAAATCTCTATACATTTTCATCTATACTCAAATCAGACATATGATAACATTCTGAAACATGCTGAACTGGCCCCCAGAGCTCTGCAAATTAGATTAAGAAAACTCCTGGTGCTATAAATGCACATCTAAAAATAATCGTAACCTTAATCCATTTTAGAGGCTGAAAAGAAATTCTGTTTAGAAAGTTGAGGCGAGGTGGAGGAGTGGACACGATGGCTCCACAGCACTCATTTCGTTTACCTAAGGCCGCTCTGTTTTTCAGAGGCATTTGCGTCAAAGCAACAGCAAATAGACGGACAGGGACTGGCATGACATTTTACTCATGCCAAATGAAATTATGCCACTGCCAGTTCTGATTCCCCTTGAAGGAATTTCTGCAATAACATTTGTTTTTGGACATGTGGGAATAGCTTTAGTCATGCTTGTGTTGCTTGAGAATATTCGGGACTAAATCAGAACATGAAACGCAAACCACTTTCAATTAACCACAATAGGTTTTAAATGTGTCTGCAGTTGAAGATCAGATGCTTCTGTGGCATCATTTCATACAAACAGGCCATTTTAAGTTTGATGATTATTCAACATGTCTGCATAACTCAATCATAGAGATGTAAACAAAGGCATTCAGGCTGGTTTGAAATGTTTCATTGTAGAGAAGCTTAGCAACTCAGGTTTGTTTACAGGGATGGTGATAGGAGTCACAGTGTCTAGAACACGAACCTAGTCATTTTATTTACTATCTAAAACCAACTATGAACGTGCACGAGTCTTCTCAGTTTTTATATGTGATGTTCATAATGATTAAATAGTGAAAAATCTGAAAAAATGCATTTTCTTTAGATTCTATTTTGCCTTTTCTTCAAGCACCATTCAACATATTCATAACTTTTTAAAGACATCTGTGAAATTCTCCTAAAAACACAAGTGCCAAATATGATTCTGTTTCACAGAAGAACCACATTCAGTTCTCTTAAGAACCTTTTAATGAATGGGCTTATAAAGAAATATTTATGTAAACGAGATATGTGGCTGTGAAGAGCCTTTTTAAAAGTAATGTAAGGGTCCTACAACAATTCATTCAAGGCATATATTGTTCACGAACCTTTATATTTACTGCTACATACTTTCTTAATTTACACAAAACAGCTGATTCTACTGTTATTAATCAATGTATTTATTTATATCCCAAGCTTATTACATACTAAGGTTAAATATGCAGTAATTACATGAACTGCAATGCTAAAATAGTGGTAAATCTGAAAAAAATCATCTTAGAGTAAAAGAATAAAATAAAATAAAAACGTAAGAGCAGAACTATAACAGAAGCCAATAGGCAGCTGTTTCAGCGTTCCTCTGAAGCCCTGTGGAGGGCTGTTTAACCCCTTAATATTCCAGGCTTATTACATACGAAGGCCTATTATTTAGTAACTACATGGACTTCGATGCAAACTGGCTGAGCTATTCTTATGGTTCAGATGTGTGCAGTGGTGGTGGAGCTGGATGGTGATTCGGTCAATCAGTCAAGAGATGGATCTGGGGTCAGGGCTGCATGAGATCTTCCAGTTAGTCTGTATAAACAGCAGGTCTGTTTGTTCAGTTAAAGATCTTAGGGCTTATTATCTAGTAACTATTATACAGTATCCAGTAACTACTATGAAACTAACAGTTTTGAGAGAGAGAAACCAAAGCCTAGACCTGCCGACTGGTTCTCTACCAGCTTCTCCACTTCCACTTTGTGCAGAGTGGTTTTTATAGCACTTTTGCTCATATTGCAGTGTAGATAATATTGCAGTGTAGATAATGTGAACTCCAGGTCATATTCCACCTGAATGAAAGCCTCATCCTTGTCTGTAATCTTTAACTGCACATGTTGTGCAAATCATCACTAAAATCATCAATGAAAACTTCTTAATCTTTAGCATGGCAGCTTTATAGGAGAAGGGAAAAGCATTCTTATTTGTAATGCATGTTAATGTAATGAGATTTTAATAAGAAGTAATTTTAGTCCATTACTGTTGGTCTGTTCATCATGAAATGTTCAGAGATTCTAAACAGCAGCTGGTGGAAAAAAATAAAAATAAAATAAAAAAGGAGATGAAAAGTCTAAATTTGTCAGATTATTTGTATCATCAGAAGCATAATAATTATAATAATAATAATTATTATTATTATTAGTAGTAGTAGTAGTAGTAATATTGTCGTTATTGCTATTATATTTATTATTGTTATTTGTAGTAGTAGTATTGTTGTTATTGCTATTATTTTTATTATTATTAGTAGTAGTAGTAGTAGTGGCGGTGGTGGTGTTATTGGTATTATTATTATAATTATCATTATTATTATTATTATTATTATTGCTGTTAGTATTAAACAGATTATTCTGATTCTAAGACTCCACCATCTGTCTGTGTGCTAGTCATGAAACAAGGTGCAGTAGAGGGTGTGGTGACTGCTGTCCATGGTGCCAGGCAATGATGACCTAATAGTTTGTTGATGTTTAGGAGGGGTCAGCCATGATGCTGCTGACCTCTTTCTATCACACCTACAATAAAAGTTTTTAAGAAGAACATTTTGGTTTCTTTTTGTATGTATTGTATGAACTTCATCCAACACGTGTAACTGGAAGGACACCAGTTCCAATTATAACGCTGCAGTCTTTCAGTATGAAACGGCACTGTAGAAATCCAGCTGCTTTGCCTGGTTCTTTCTTCGTGTGTGTATTTCTGTGTGCGTGTCTAACTTAAGTAGCATTTGTAGAGCACTGATAAACAGTTTTGCCACCCCCTTCCACTCACACATCTGCATTTGTCTGAAAGGATATCGTGTAATTGCCAGATAAGAGTGACGTTGGCCATAAAAACAAAGTCACTCTACACAAGATTCCACTCGGCGGGCCTATTCATGTGCTCTCTCAGCTGATGACGGGTGGACCAGAGGGAGACGTCAGTGATATTAAATAGTTTGCCTTGTTAAGATACTGTCTTTTTCCCAGAAAATGCTTCTGAGGGAAAAAGGGAATATTATATTAGCAGGGGAATGCATGCTGTGAAGTAAGTAACGGGGCCATTTCTCCTCTGGGAAAGCAAAGGACAGAGCCGCAGAGCTCTCACTGTCTGGCTGTCCCGCAGCCAAATGAGGCTTTTCAGAGGCCTGCGGCAAGCTTATAAAGCCTGCTTAATTCACCTCAAGGTGAGTTCAATCTAACAGGTTCAGCCAATGAGGAGGCTCAGACAGAAGGGAGCCATAATACTGAGGATAAAGTAAGATTTTGAGAGTCGGGTTAGCCTGAGGCCAAGGCTGAGTAATGAAGAGTGAATAAACTATTTCAAAAAAGCACAATCTGATATAATAAAAGATAAAAAAAATACACAGAGGACACATCAATCAAGATCTCAAAGTGTTGCTTGGCAATCTTAATCCTACTGTTAACAAACTACATTGGTGAAAAAAATTATTATTGCACTGATTATTATTATTAATAATTGATTACATTTACCCCTTCAAACCCCAGGCTTATTACAGGCTTATTTCAATCTTGTTACAGCCTTATTATTCAGTAACTACCTGGGCATCAATGCAAACTGAATAAGAATATCTGCAAACTGAGTTGTTCTTGAGTTATAGAAGTGGTAGGGATGTAAGAATACAATATATTGTACTGGAACAAATTTAACTGCAGCATATCGTAATATCCAGTGTTGGATTGTTGGAGCATGGTTACTTTTTCCTGAAAGAAAGCAGTCTAACGCTTTACAGCTGTAATTTTTGTAATTGCATTAAAGTTAATGACTTAATAAGGGTTTCATTAGAACAATATTCATTTCACATGATGCAGTTAAATCATA